GAAACGGTTATGCCACTCAAAAACACGTGTACGAGACAGACAATTATCTCCGTACACTTGCTTCATCATTCAAAACGTTTCCGTGACACTTTTGCCCAGCCGAACACAAAATTTGATATTCGCTCTTTGTTCCATTCTTGCTTCACAACATACACACAAGAGAGACGTCTACTTCAGCTCACACTATGTTCTCAAATGATGGCAATGTATGATGACCTTCAGTGTGTAGATGCAGGAGTAAGCTACTTTGAATATACAATGCTCAGATTGCTCATACATGGAACCATAATTTTTTTCCAGCATCAGTCCCATTTTCCAGTTGCCGCACTGTGTAGGTACTGTATCCTTTAATGGCTTTTTGTTTTGTGTGGTGTCATGTTGAATTTTTCTTTATATTAATTGAATGCTGTCATTTAATTTGGCTAACAAGTACAGCGGATATGAGAGCCTTAATTGTTGGGTTAATTTTGAGGTAAAGTGATGATGAAAACAAAATATTGTGAAACAGATACAATCCAGAAAGTTTTATGTACTTCATTTCAACTTGTTGTTTGAAGGTCATTTAATGTCTTTTTAACTGGATGTTTTAGTGGTTATGATTTTTTCACGCACAGATTGTGTTGTATCGACCTAATGGTGGACGTGGTTGTGCTGTGGGAGATTCACCTCCTGGACTTCCTGAAGAAGGTGCAGATGCAATTTATAGCTTCGAGTCCTTGCCAGCCAAGCACTGGAAAAAGTATCTCTATGCTTCAAGGTAAAAGATTTGTGTTGTACATAGTTTTCATTAAACCCTCTCCACTGTATCACTGAACCTTACTTTATTTTTTTAATCCTGGTTCTAGAATGTGTATGGAATGGTTTTATAGGAAGAGTAGAAATAGAAGAGATTAACCAGTCAAAGCCAAGGATGACGGAGGGACATTTCTTTGCTCTTATGGGAATAAGGAACAGGAAAGGCCCATTAAAGGGCTAGTACAATGAAGGATCTATTTGGGGCCAGTACAAAATAAAACTGAGTGAAGACAAAATACATGCATTACCCTTACAGAGAACATTTTTTGTGCCCTCAGGGTCTGAATGAAAGGCTTCCTTGTTGGGCTGACTGAGAACTATATCCCCTGTCCTTGTTGTTAGAATGGAGCTTCATTTCTGTCACTTCCCTGATGATTTGGCCCGTGTGTCTGAAAATCCCCCCCCCCCCATGATACTGGTGTCATGTGTCATATAGTGAAATTTCCTTCACAACAATAATTGTTATATATAAATAACTCTGGTTCTTGCTTAGATTGGGTATGATAGTGGTGTTTTCCCAGAAAAACACAATTTTTGTCTATGTTGGTAAGGCTTAGTGGACTTGCGGGTAGATACATGTTATCTCCATCTTCAGGCCTGAAGTTTTAAAACAATGGTATTTACAAATGATTCTATGTGACATTAATGTCCAGAAAACCAAAATTGGCATCTTCACAGCTATGATTTAATTAGTATACTTTGTTTTACGGCAATGTTGGTGAGAGGTCAAATTGGAGACTTCCACAACATGCAAGAAGCAGCAGAAATATTCACAGATTTACTGTGCTTGAAAGAGGCCTCAGAAAAATTAATTCCAATGAAAGATAAGGAGTCATATGTGTTTGATAATACAGCCATTTATATCCATATGCTCTATAAGGATGGGAACATCCATTGTTCTAGTTTCCTGTGCATATTCTACTGTTCCTCCTCTTTGCTATACTTCAACCAAACCCCTAATAGTATAGTGTTTATAGTATCGTGCAGTGTTAGAAGGGAAGAGGTTGTGAGATGCTTGTGAGTTAATGGTCGCTTTCTACACCACTGAGTGAACAATGTTAATGCTCAGTTCCTGTACATTTACTAGTTTTGTACTATAACAACAAGACTGAAGTGCTTAAAGTTTGTGTGTATTTCATACATCACATAATCTGCCAGAACAATTAGTGATGCATTTATGCATCACATAGCTTGTAAAGTTTATAATGTATAACCTGCTAACTTGTTTTGTACTTTTGATTTCCATTGCAGTTCCTGTTACATTTATTCCCAAAGATCACGATTATAGTTGAGCATTAAAATTCTTTTCATTAATCAATCATGGTGTTTACAGTTTGTCGTTTACTTTTTTAGGTTTGTTAATTTGGTGAAAGCTAAGACTCCTAAAGTCACATTTTACAGTGATAAAGCAAAGTGTTTACTTATGGAGAATGCTCCAGATCCAGATTTTGAAGTGTGCTTTTATGAAGGTAAGAGGCTGTATAATGAAATTTATTTCCTACCTAAGTAAGATTTTCAGTTTTGTATGCTCTTAACAAGAAGTGCATAAAATAATTTTGTGTCTGGCCCCATGTTTAATCTTTCAAACTACATAATTGATTTCTACGAAATATGTTAGTTGTTGTCAGATGAATTTTAAGAGGCCATGTGTTGGCCGAATGTAACCACTGTTTTACTTGGAACTTGGACTAGTAACTCAAAACACTGTTCTTAAAGCAAACAGTTTGTGAAATAGGTACTTGAATAACTCTGTGGAACAGATTCCTTGAGGGGCTCAGCTGATCAAGTAATTTTGTAACTTTTATGGAATCCAGAGATCTATTTCCTTGTTTAGAAGAGCCTACTACTGATCTTTATCATGTGCAAGTTCTGTTTTAATATTGTCCTTCCATCTGTGTGCAAATCTCTCAAGTCATCTCATCTTTTCAGGTTTCCTGACTAAAATTTTGTGTGTTTTTCTTGTCTGTCATTTGTATTTGACATGTGTAAAATATAAATAGCAAAGTCACTCATTCTGAAACATGTTACAAGATAGTAAAATAATTTGATTTAATTTAGTGAAACCAAGATCAGTTATTCTGCCCTTGATGCTAGAAATAGCCATGCCCTGTTTATTAGGAAGGAGGAGTTCATTAGTCATAATTATTCAGTTTAGTGAAGATCTTTACTTGCATGGATAATCTCAAAGTGAACAACTTTTGCCAGTTTGTTTCTTTTATGTGTTTGTAGTAATAAATAAAATATAATTCATTGTTGAAAATTTGAAGAGCATGGATCTTAGAATGTCATTTATAATTACTTCCATCAAACATGCTTGTTAAGTGTGCACTGTATGATTTTACAGTCTTATTGCTCTCTGTATTAATTTTTAGTCAGAAGTGTAAATTTTAGAATCATCACTTTGCACCTCAAGAATATGATTTCTGCTGATGTGGGAGCATACTTTGTTTCCTGTTGTTGAAATCTGGTGGGTACTTAAGAGTGATTTTATTGCATCACTAGTCTGTAAATGTATTTATCTGGCTTTGTTTAATATTATTCAGCAAAGACATAACAGGCCAGTTTGGCTACACCTTTAAGTAGGGTAGATTAGAATAGATATGTAATTTGAAGAAAATTAACACATTTCCAAATTGTTTTTCTTTCATCTAATACAGGTGGAAAAATTACTAAAGTGGATGGTGAGTGTATTAAAATTATTAATAGCAGTGGACATAGTACAGTGCTGGAGAATGAAAAGTGTGAGCATTTGCTACCAGCAGCTACAAGACTGCTGTGGGATCACTTTCAACAGGTAAATTAATTCCATTTGTACCTCATGACTTCCTGCTGTGACTCTACAAGACTATGTGACATCATAGTCTGCAGAAGACCACAGTCAAAATTTCACTGCCTTAATGCCATAAAAGTGTCAGATATATATAATGTAACTTTAGTTTGTTAAACAGGAAGTCCCAGACCAGAAGTGATGTAAGTGTACAGCTGGTATCATACTTCCAATAATTAGTAATGTTTTAGTATTTGTCTGTATGTGGCTTTTTTGTACCTTCCACTAACTACAATTATTTATGTCACGTGTCTTTGAAGCAAGGACACTAATATTTCTACCTTAATTTGAGAAAACCATGAATTAATGTTAATGAATTTTCCAAGTCCTTGGACAGCAAAACAGAGGTGAAATGGGAACTTCAGTTGGTTGTTCATTTCCCTCGTAGACCAGTTGGTGTGGTGGGGAACTGGTGTTGCTACAGAGCTCATGTCTGCGAGTGCAAATCCTGATGTCTATCTATGTTTTTATGCATTGTGTTGTATTCATACAAATAGCCCTACACATTAAAATTGTGCATTTGTTAAAGTATTTAACTGCATATATTTCAGAGCTTCTGTGTGGAACTCATACCAAGTGTCTTATAATAAAACTTCATTGAAAATTACAGTGCTATCATCAGTGCTTGCTGTTGGAACAAAATTTGACACAAATTTCTAAAGAGTCTGCAGCAAGAGGGGCAAACTACTTTCCCGTAATTGTGGGGAAACGGCCTTCTGTA